CCAAGGAGGAAATCCACTATAAGAGATGTTAATTCAGAAATAAACCAACCAGTTTATCTCCTTCACTTAAGACCTACCCAATGCAATTTCAATCTAAGTACAACTTAAACCTGAGTTCCTACTCACTCCCCCTCAATCACAACAGTGATACATAAAACAATTTGACTAATGAATTGATGAAGACACTCTTCAAAAACATACACTTGATTAAGCTTCACAGCTTTTTAATCAAGCAACACAACCACTCTTGCTTCACAGCTTTGAGTGATACACACACCTAACTTGACTCTGCTTCACAGCTTTAGTCAAGAGACATACAAACACTCTTGCTTCAAAGCTTTGAGTGCTACACAACCCTTACAATTAAAAACCTATTCCAAGTCACTTATCACAATGATAATTGCTTGGATTACAATAGTTAAAACTATACAGCTTCTAAATGATCTTCTGTCAAAAAGGGATTACTTTCAAAACAGCAGCTCTGTTGAATATATAGCAGCTGCATCTTCAGTTAGGGTTTCCACAAAAAGCTAGGATTAATTCCATTTGACCTTAAGACTAGGTCACATGACTTTATCAACCAGGTTAGGGTTGAGCTAGGTTAACCCAAAGAAAATGCAGGATTCTGTTCTGGAAAGACTGAGTCATTTTCCTGAAAAAACTCAGAATTAACCAAACTGCAAACCTGTTAGTTAAGAACAGGATGTCTTAACATTTGTTATGACATCTGAATTCCTGTTTACTGATTTTGGTAAATGTGATCATTTTGCAAAATGCTCGGATACACACTCATAAACATCAGTACCTGTATGACAATATTTTTCTGCAAAGGTACCTAATGAATCAGTACAAACTAAACTAGAATGTTATGACATCAGTCATGACATTCACACATACACTTGGGATTTACCAAAAATGCAAGCCAATAACTAAACAACTACAATTCCTACCCGGCGAATATTAATAAAATCACAGATATAAAATTTTGACATATAAATAGAATGCTACACTTTCAACTTATAACAACGACATTTAATCGCATATAAAACAGATACATAACACTTAAAACTCGGATGAACTAATAGCAACGTAAATTAGTCTTTGAAAACAAAACAACTTTTATAATTAAGCAATGGAATCATAATTTTTTTAACTCAAATGATATAACATCTTTGTCCAACCGAAAACAACTTCAAAACAACCAGTACTTAATGAAAACAACTTAAAATTCAGCAACGGAAGTAAAATCAACAATAAAGCAACAAGCGTTCATCCCCCCAAGTGTTATGTATCAGAGCGACGACACCGACTCGAACTACTGAAGGTAAACAACCTTCATTCTATATTACCTGCACGTTACCAACATAGGATAACATTCAAACAGAAGGAGTGAGATATCGAACTATATAATTAAGTATATAATAAACAATATATTAGATCAGATTATATAAATCACCACTTCACAACTTTAAACCAACGTCAATCATCACAATTCAACAACACAACATCTTAAATATGCAACACGAAATGTGACCAGTTACAATGTACATGCATGTGGTACCAGTGGAGCAGAACTCTCAACTTAAAAATGGAGCAGAACTCCCATCTTAAAAATGGAGCAGAAATCCCAACTTAGAAATAGTCAATTAATAGAGGCATCAACAAAGCGTAAACCTTCAACTTCAACTTTTTGTCAATCCAGGCCAACTTGTTATACTATGCATGCCACAACAACAACTATAACATCAACCATTTCAACAACAATACAACAACAACAATTCAACTACAACTTAACAACAATTCAACAACAACACAACAACAACACAACAACAACAATTCAACTACAACTTAACAACAATTCAACAACAACTTAATAATAATTCAACACTAGTCATAGGCCTACAACTTGATATTTCAACAACAACAATTAACGCAACATTGGCATAAGCCTACAACTTAATTTGCCAATCCAAGCCAACTTACTGAGCATCAGCTCTAACTTGATATACTATGTATGCGACAACATTATGAAGTACAACAACAACTACAACATAAACCATTAAACAACAACTCAACAACAACAACAACAACAATTCAACAACAACTCAACAACAATTCAACATTGGACATAAGCCTACAACTTAATATTTCCCCCATAAATAGAGTCAACTCAACAAGATACAACATCACCTACAAATTCACATTGTTAAACAAAGAACACGATACCACAAATCAACCAAAATTTACTACAACCAAACCGCGTAATTATTCAGACTATTCCCGGTTAATTAATAATCTAAATACTTATTTCTAATTACAAAACTTCTACAAATTATTATACTATAATACTACATCATCATTATTATTAATATTATTATTATGAACTAAGCATTATCATAAGATCGTCATGTCATCATCATACTTCATCACCACAAAACATCATAGCGATTCAACATGGGGAAACTAACTCTATCCTAACTTGTGTAATATAATTATTCTTCTCATCCTTCATTTTACTATTTATAAATATAGTTCATCACGTTAGATATCCAATGCTTCGAACGACGCATCAAACAGAGTTACGATTCGAAAGTTATGGCCGTTACAAAATTGTCGAAAATTGGATGTCACTCGGGTATGCCCAGGTCGACCCAATGAGTCGACTCATAACTGTTTGATAGAGAGATTCTGTCTCTTGGGTATGCTCAGGCCCACCCTGCCTTCTGCATGAGTCTACTCATGCTGTTTTGTGCTGAATTTTTCCGCGATTTACTGCGATATTCTGCGATTTCACTATATTATGAGTCTTAAAACGTCATCAAATCATAGGTAATCATCATCTATTATCATCCTATGTTTCTACATCAATTATACATCATTTGGGCATCATTATTCATCTTTAATTCATTGATTCCCCATCAAACAACAATATATAAATTTCAAACACAAACAAAAACAATTCTACAAACCTAATCCCAGATACCACTCATCACATACCCTATTATAGAGTCAGAACCCCACCCTTACCTTAGATTAGAGACCGCTCTACAATTCTTTGATCGAACCTAGCTTTGCCTCTCTTCCCTTTACTCTGCAACTTCTACGTTCTCTTTCTCTCTTCTAACCCTTATTCCTCTCCTACTTGACAAAACCTATTTTCCTAACTGTCACATCTAATTTCTTTTTCTTATTTAACTTAATCAATATAATAATGCTATTATTCTATTATTCTCAATAATTCCATTGGGCCTAACCTCAACACCCCCACTTTTACTACCACCAACCATTAATTAAGCTCATATAATAAATCTAGTATTATTCCAATACTATTTCTACAACTTAATCAACCAAATAATCAACTAATAACATGACAACTTAAATAAACATTTCACAACATCAATAATTAATTCGAAAAATAATTTAACTAAATAATTAATTAAATAATCGGGCGTTACAACTGCGCCCGCTGAGCCACATATTTCTGGTGAGAACTGGTTGGAGGATGTCGTCCAGCCCGTAGCTCGTAAGCATGTGCCTCATCAGTCCCGATTTGAGCTTCCGCTCTATCAGTCAGTCTGCCTGCAATGGAACTTTCTTTATCTCTGGTCCTCACTGAAATAAAGAAAAAAAATTAACTAGCGGAAATTTCGAAATTTTTTTTAAAAAATGAAGTAGCGTAAATTTTAAATTTCAGGTATAAAAATTAAACCGCCGGAAATTTCAAATTTTACAGTATAAAATGTAACAAAATAATCAGGAATTTAGAAGTTTTTTGTACAAATACATCAGAAATTTCCAAATTTCAGTGAAAAACTGCCGGAAATTTCGCAAAAATATCAAAAATTTCTTACTGTTTCGTGAAAATTCCGGTGTCTCCTGTAAATCTCCAGATCGTCCAAAAATTTCCGGTACCCATTTTTATCGCATACCAGAAATTCTTTGCATTTCACAAATTTTCAGTAGTGATATATCGGAAATTTCGAAATTCCCGATTGCGATATACCGAAAATTTTATAATTTACGATTAATTTTACAAAAGTCTTACAAGTACCGGAAATTTAGTAAATTTCCGGTAGAAAACCTATATCGAAAATATCAAATTTTCGGTGTACCAGAAATTTCTGATATGGGTTACCCTATAGATATAGTGTCGTATTTGTTTCCCTTTCCATGAGACTTAACATAACATTTTTCTCACTTCTCATAGCTCCACCCCCGTACACGAGTCAGCATACTATCATTGTTGTTGGTTTTGTCAACGAAAATCATTGGGTTCATGTGAAGTTGAAACTCGATTGTCCACTGCCTCCCGTCACTAAGAAATGGAGACAAAATTGTTCTAATGATGCAAAAGCATGAGAATTAGCTTATGTGGGTCGCTTCTGGCATTGAGAAGAATTGGCTAAGCCGTGATTGCAGTTTTTTTTAATATAACTATGTATGACAATTATTTTATTTATATACTTTGTCGGTTCGTTGTTTCAAAAAATATTTTATTCAAGTAATAGTTTTAAAAAAACAAAAAAAATTAAGTCTCAGTATTATCGAAAATTTCAAATTTTCGATATTTTTTATACACTGGAAATTTCAAATTTTCTATTTGTATTTAGAATACAAAAAAAATATCAGAAAATTTGAAATTTCCGATATTTTTCATACACCGGAAATTTCAAATTTCTGATTTGTTATTTAAATATTGAAAAATACCAAAAAAATTAAATATCCGATAACAACTAAATGGTATGATAAAAACTTGAGAATTTAATCAAATTTATTTTATTTGTATGAAATTTTCGATATAAAATTGAAAATCTCAAAAATTCTGATATATTCAAAGACATTTTCGTAATTACACCCTATCTAAATGATGACATGTATAAAAGCTAGGTTAAACTATTGTTGGGCCTAGCACAGTTTTACATTAAAAAGACATATATTAAGGAGAGCATGGAGGAGGGAGTAACCTATGTGAATGTCGAGAAACCATACATGCTGTAACAATGGCGGCAGTATTTTCAGATTTGCCGGAGGACTTGTTGGAGTGCATCATCAAATCCCTCAACGGCGACAACCGCACTTTCAAGTCTCTAACCGTCGTCTCAAAACAGTTTCTCTCCATCACCAATCGTGTCCGATTCTCCGTCAGAATCACCGATGAAACCATTCCTTTCCTTCCTCGACTCTTCCACCGCTTCCCTAACCTCACCTCCCTCCACCTTACTCTCCTATCCAAAACCCTAGAAGAAGTCGACGCTCTTCTTACCCTAATCTCCACTTTCCCTTTACACATCACATCTCTCAATCTCTCCAACGGTCTCCACACCAAGTTCATTCCGGTTCCGGCAAAAGGGTTGATAGCTCTGTCCAAAACTCTGAAAAATTTAAGATCTCTCACTCTTTACAGATTGTTTCATTTTGACAAGAAGGATTTGTTCTTGATCGCCGATTGTTTTCCTTTACTAGAAGAACTCAATCTCCGTTATCCACGGGTTTGTGGTAGCCAAGATTTTATGATAGATGAAAATGATCCATTATTGGCACTTCCCAATCTCCGCAAGATTAACCTATCAGGTAATCACATCGAAGATCAATTTATTAACTTTCTCTGCCACAGCTGCAAGGTTCTTCAAGTGGTCATGATCATAGACAGAATTATTTCAGGGGAACCTGGGGAATTTGGGGAAAATGGGAAATATGATAGGAGTGATATAATATATTTGTAGTTTAATTACAATTTATATGTTATTTATCCAATTTTCAGTTTTTATTTTTTTGCTGCAACTTTTTGTTTTGTATATATATATGTGTGATGAGGTAGAAATGAAGATTGAGAAAGAGTAGAACAATTTCACTATATTTGCAGAGTACAGTGATTTCTCCGCTGTTAAGCAAAACTGTTTGCATGAAGAAAAAGGGTGACCGATTCCTCATTCGATGTCTTTGATTGATGTATATCAGTGTTATTATGATTTACCTATTCCTCTAAGTTTACTAAATAATAGGTATTACATCACTTTTATGCTCCAGACCTCGTGTCTATTTCTGAACTTACAATATCTGATAATGTTTGTTGATAATATGTGGTAATCTCTTCACACGTCTGGCCCATTAGATGGCAGGTGGAACAATCAATTTACCTTGCACTAAATCAGTGATGGTTTCAATGTCGATGTTCAATATATGTATTAGGCCGAGACTCTTTGGTGATGTTCAATATTCATTCCCTTGTTTCTTGAAATTGAGATGAAAACACATCCTTATTGCAGTTTTATGATGGCATGGGCATATTTTGGCTGTAGTAGTAGTTATAGACACCCTACTAAAACATGGCAATGGTGAATCCCTTCAACTTTCATACAAACTTTCTCCCATGCACTTCCTTTGTGTACTTACTCGGCTTTCTCCAAATACAAAGGCTGATACTTCTGTCAATGTTTATTTTGTAAGAATATTGGAATGTTTGTTTGGAATTGGGGTACAGATAATAATGGTCCTTGAGGTAGTGTTGCCCATGGACCCATGGTTCTTTATTTGATTGATTGGGTTGCGTCAAATTGGTTCAGTTTTGGATTTTTGGATAAAGTGAATGTTTTTGAGGGAATTTTTTTGGGTGTTTTAAGAGAAATTATGCGTCTTTTGCAGTTTTTATGTTGGGGATTGGTGTTTTAAGAGTTAGTGATATATATGTGTGTGATACGGTGGCCAGAACCGGGACGTGGTTTCTCTATTTCGTTAAGAAAATTTTGCTGGTTTGCATTTTGCATTTGTGTTCGCAAAATGTCACAGAAAAATTCATTTTTCGAGATATTTCTGAATACGGAGGTAGAAAGGGAAGGTATTAGTACTTATCTACGGGCTCTTAGGTACTTGCTTATCATTTTCAAAATTGTTTTCTTTGTGTTTGTGCGCTTTGAAAAGTTTTTGTTTTGATTTCGGTTTAACTCTTGCTTCTGTCTTCAAGAGTGTAATGAAGTGTTTTTGAAAACTTTGTTTATAAAGGAGTGTAAGTGTGAAAAATTTGTTTGGAATGAGCAAGTACTTAAGAACTAATCTACCTACTCGAAAAAAGAATCGTTCTGTATTCGTTTCCTTTAGACAACGCTATCCCACTATTAGTGAGTAGGTAGCATCGTGGTTAGGACGTCTTAGTAATAACCCTAATGTCTTAGATCAATTATTCGAGGCAACCATTCCGAGGCAACTTTTCTGAATCGGGACTTTGATCTTTGTTTAGACAAAAGGACGACCACTAAAGCATCATATATTCAATGATCATTTACCGAAGGCAACTAAGTAGGAGTGTACCCTAGGAGTGCGCATGTGCGAATGATTCAATTTCAGTTTATTTATCTTTGCACATTTAGGGTGATCTAACTGTTTTAAAATTAATCATACATTCTTGTCATGCATCCCTATACCATACATCTAACAGTTAATAATTTGCGGAATTTAAAGTGCGGAATTTAAATTGCGAGGCTTCGGGTATTTACATAGCCAAAAACAAACCCTTTGAAAATAAAGCGATAAATGTAAATAAACTTTGTAATTAAACTATTATAAACTGTAGGCAGTTACATCAATATGGTAAATAATAAAAATAAAGCGCGCGAGAAGAATTAAGATCGACGAGAATTTAAGGTTTTGACCCTTCTAACCTAATTAAAAGAAAATTTATATTTTTTGTTGTTTTTAATAAAAGAAATAAGTTTTCTAAATTAAATATGCAATTAATTAGTTAATTAAATTAATTAATAAAAATAATTACATGACCTATTTTTGTTTCTTTGGTTATTTTAGGAAAATATAAAATATAATTAAGTTAGTAATAAAACCTATTTATTCTAATTATTTTTAAGTTATTTACAAAAAGAAATTAAAGTTTTACCTAAAATTAAAATTTAATTAAGAAAAAATCCTAAATCTATTTTTATGTGATTTTTATATTTGTTTATTGATAAAAAAATAAAAGGGATTAAAAGAAATAAATAAAACGAATAAAACATGAAAATAAAGATGGGCCTAGTAGCAAAAGTAAATAGGGGGTGCAATCATTAGAAATCCCTAGGCCCAAATCTTTGAAAGCTTCATGCTCTAACTATTGTGTTTTTTTATTCTTGCGTGGAACCTATGATTCAACCATCCATAACTGTTTTATATAAACTCAAACAAACGTTAGCATACCATAAAATGTGATTAAAATTAGTGATTCGAAGTTTAAAATTTTACCAAATCGGTGTTTTCAAACGGGGGGCGTGCTAGACGTGTGATGGATTGCTCTTGGGTCTTGTAAGACTCTTGAGTACTTAAAGAGGATGGTTTGAGGCTTGATGTCAATTGAGAGAGACCAGAACCTCGAGATATGACTTGCACCAATTCTTTGATTTCTGGAGAGCTTTTAGAGAGCTTTTTGAAGAGCTTTTTGAGAGCTTTTTAGAGAGGATTTTCGTCACTTTCAAGCTTGTATGACTCTATATTTATAGAGGAGAATGAGGATACAAGAAAGCATGGAAATAATCTCCCTCATAATGTTATGTTTTAAGATCATGATCAAAATTTGAAAAAAATGCCATATTTGATGATTTTATGCCATTTTCACATGTGGATGAACCTGGACATATTTGAAGAGTTATTGCACAAAATCAATTGACATAAACCAGCATAAAACTTTCCCAAAATGGATTCACATCAAAATTTATATTATTTCTATTATTTATTTATTTAATTCTGAATTTTAATGAATAAAATATCAAAATAAATAGCATAAATAGTATAAAAATGTATGGGTGGGCTTAGAGGTCGTGGACCATGTTAGGAATGAGTTTCAAACTTGAAAAGATAGTCCCATTTGGAAAAAATCCAAGTTTGGTCAATATTTGTTTCATGCATTTTTTCAAAAATTGTCCAACTTTGACAATGCATATCTCTCTCAATTTTAACCTTGTGAGGGTAGTCTTGGACTTTTTAGAAAGCTTAGGATGTCCCCTAAGAGACCTCTTTGGTTTCATCTCAATTGGATCTTCCATGTTCATGTAAGAAGCTTTGACCCAAAAGGTGCTTTTGTTGACTTTCCAAAATGACCTATAATGTCTAAATTCATAACTTCTTGTGAGTGCATATTTTGAACTTGGGAGCTGAAGATGGATTGTAGTTAATTGCATCCTATTAAAAATGAGATTTGGATGGGTCATTTATAATAAGGTATGAGAAAGTTATGCTTCGTCAAAGTTGAGTTGACTTTTCCTACAAAACCCTAATTTAGCAACTTTTGAGTCTTGATAAATTATGAGAAATCCTTGATGAATCATGATCAAACCTTGATCAAATGATTAAATATACTTTAAAATGAGGATGTTGACCAAAAATCTTGAAGTTTGACTGTATGTGGGCCACATTTGACTTTTGCCCTAGCACAGTCGATTTTCAGACCTTTGAGCAATTGACTGAGCAAACTTCCTCTGCAAGGCTTGAAACTTGACATGGATGATCTTGAGAATATATTAGGACAATGTTGAGCATTTGGGGTCCCTTGGACTCAAGTATCTTGATGCAACATGAAACCCTAATTTGAGGTAGACTGCCTTAGGAGAGAGCTTGTCAGGCCAACCCTTGGACTACCTTGAGCAACTTGGGGATCTTTCTTGAAATGTTTTGAGAAATATGGGAGGGAAAATTTTGGGGTACAACAGCTGCCCCTGTTCAATTTTCTTAAACCTGAGGATGTAGATTGACTTTCGTGATCCGAAGGTGGAAGATGATTGAACACTAGAGTGCCCAGAAATTTGCACTCGCATGAAGTGGCAATTGTCTTGTGATGTCGGGAATGGGCTTACAGATGCCATTTGGAGATTGCTGACGGGAGATGGGCTTAAATATGCCATCCGAAGGAGTGTCGATCGCATAAGGGATTCCTTAGTGAGAGCTTGTATATCTGTCGTTGGGGAAAATACCGCTGGGGAAAGCTGATTTTTGTTGAGAGAAGTAGAAATTTAGGAGCTTCAGCGTCCGTTATTCTGCTGGGAAGTCGTCTTTGTTGATATTTAGGAACTTTGGTCATCCGTACTCAACTGAGGAATCATCTCTGTTGATATTTAGGAACTTCAATCGTCCATACTCAACAGAGGAAACATCTCTGCTGATATTTAGGAACTTTGATCGTCCGTACTCAACGGAGGAAACATCTCTGCTAATATTTAGGAACTTCAATCGTCCGTACTCAACTGAGGAGTCATCTCTGTTGATATTTAGGAACTTTGGTCGTCCGTACTCAACTGAGGAATCATCTCTATTGATATTTAGGAACTTTGGTCGTCCATACTCAACTGAGGAATCATCTATGTTGATATTTAGGAACTTCGATCGTCCGTACTCAACGGAGGAAACATCTCTGCTGATATTTAGGAACTTCGATCGTCCGTACTCAGCGGAGGAAACATCTCTACTGATATTTAGGAACTTCGATCGTCCGTACTCAACGGAGGAATCATCTCTGCTGATATTTAGGAACTTCGGTCGTCTGTACTCAACTGAGGAAACATTTTTGTTAAGATTTAGGAACTCGTCCGTAATTCAATTGAGGAAACATCTCTGCTGAGATTTAGGAACTCGTCCGTACTCAACTGAGGAAATATTTTTGTTGAGATTTAGGACCTCATCCGTAATTCAACTAAGGAAACATCTCTGTCAAGATTTAGGAACTCGCCCGTAATTCAACTGAGGAAATATT